ACACCTCAATCCAATGGAATTGCGGAAAGGAAAAATCGGACATTAAAGAAAATGATGAATTCTTTATTAATAAGTTCCCAATTACCGCAGAGTTTGTGGGGCGAAGCTATCCTTACAGCTAACCGAATACTCAACAGAGTACCCTACAGCAAAACGCAATCTATTCCATATGAAAAATGGAAAGGAAGAAAACCCAACTTGAAATATTTCAAAGTGTGGGGGTGTCTAACAAAGGTACAAGTTCCTTTACCTAAAAGGGTTAAAATCGGTTGTTAATGGCACTAGCGGCCATGTATGATCTTGAAATCTATCAAATGGATGTTAAAACAACTTTCTTAAATAGAGAATCAGAGGAAGAGATTAACATGGAACAACCTGAGGGTTTTGTGGTTTCTGGTAAAGAAAAGAAAGTGTGCAAACTTGTTAAGTCGCTTTATGGACTTAAACAAGCACCCAAACAATGGCATGCCAAATTTGACCAAACAATGTTGGCAAGTGGGTTTAAAATCAACGAGTGCGACAAATGTGTTACATTAAAAACACTCCAGGTCATGAAGTCATTGTTTGTTTATATGTGATGACATGTTGATAATGAGCAAAAACATGGTAGATATAAATGCTACTAAGCACATGTTGGCTAGAAAATTCGATATGAAAGACTTAGGAGTTGCTGATGTGATCTTAGGAATCATAATTCACAAGACTCCACAAGGTCTAGCATTATCACAATCTCACTACATTGAAAAGGTACTTGACAAGTTCAAATATTTGGATTTTAAAATTGCCAAGACTCCAACTACCGTGAGTTATGCACTTCAAAAGAATGAAGGTGAAAGTGACTCACAACTGGACTATGCAAGAGTACTGGGAAGTTTGATGTTTATCATGAATAGTACGCGACCAGATATAGCATGTGCTATTAGTAAACTGAGTCGGTTTACAAGTAATCCCAATCACATACATTGGATGACAATGAAACGAGTTTTGGGGTATCTCAAACATACCCAAAATTACGCTTTGCATTATAACAAATATCCCTTCGTGATCGAGAGATATAGTGATGCAAATTGGATCACTGAATCATCTGAAGTTAAATCCACGAGTAGATATGTTTTCACAATTGGGGGTGGAGAAGTGTCTTGAAAATCATCCAAACAAACGTGCATCGCCCGTTCTATAATGGAATCTGAATTCATAGCTTTAGATAAGGCCGGTGAAGAAGCTGAATAGCTCCGGAATTTCTTGGAAGATATTCTATTTTGGCCCAAACCTTTGGCACCTATTTGTATACATTGTGATATTCAAGCGGCAATAGGCAGGGCAGGGAGCATTATGTATAACGGAAAATCTCGCCATATACGACGGAGACACAATACCGTTAGACAACTACTCTCTAGTGGTGTTATCATAACTGACTACGTAAAGTCAAGAGATAACGTGTCAGATCCACTTACAAAAGGCCTATCTAGACAGGCAGTTGAAAGATTATCAAATGGAATGGGGTTAAGGTTTAGGACAAGTCATCATGGAGGTAACTCTACCTAGCAGACTTGAGATCCTACGAGCTAGGTTCAAAGAGATCAAACAAAGTTATGAATGACGGTCAACATTGTCAAATAACTCAACCCATTCTCGTGATAAAGAGAATATTCAGAAATCGAGGTAAAGCATTAAGGCTTTTTGATGAGTCAACAAAGCTTAATTTTTTTTAATGATTTGCTAAGTCTGATAGGATATGATCAGATAATGTGTCTATAGGATTACACATTTAGAAATTACCTATGTGAGTGTGAAGTGTAAGGTGCTTCAAGGGGAATGAAAGTAAAGGCCCATTCTCTAAGCACTCATGAAACCAGGCGGTGTTCATGGCTGAAACGAACACAACTGTGAGAACCATAGATGGTTAAGGATTAATTGTGTGACTTATGTTGTCTAGGTATACAACAAAGCTCGACGATTCAAAGATATCAAATCTACCCATTGACCGAGCATATCCGATATAAGTTCACTACGGAAAATTCAAAGGGAAACCTACTTATCCAGATGCAATTAATTCTTGCATGTAAAACACACACGTTGGCAAAGGGACATTGTCCCATATTGGAGGAAGAAAAGGTTTTTTATGGGTATATATATAATTGCTCTTCTTCTAGCTTTTAAAGAGTTAAGAAGAAGGCAAGCTTCGCGTCGTCGTCGTCGCTCGCTCGCTCGGCTCGGCTTCGGCTTCGGATTCAGATTTGGTCAAAGATCGTTTGATTGATTAATCTTTTTGGATAAAATTCCTTTCAATTAATTAATTAATTAATTAAATAATTAACGAAAAATTCGATCCGGAATAACCCATGACCCGCGACCCGGTTCGGTCAGGCCCGTTTTCTTTATTCAAACAGCCTGTTCCAATATGCGAGCAACTCTATAAATATACTTTGAATCACAGAATCTTTCCTTATGAAATTTTCTGATCTTCTTCTTCTTCTTCTTCTGCACAAAAATTCCAGTGTGTTTTACAGTCTTCGAGTGGCTCGCTGTTCACCGGCGTTTTGGGTACCAACACTCCGGTGAGTTAAATCGTTCTATCCTAGGAGGATATATTCCAGCACCTCGGATACTTGAGGGGAATAATTTTCTTAAGGACACACTGTGTATTCAGTGGGCTCGATTTATTCCTATACTGTTTTTTCAGAATTTATTTCGTTAAACTAATATAACTAACTTTCTGTTTTGTTTATATATTTCAGAAAATTTAATGGTTTAATTGTTTATTACAGCAATACAGATTTATAACAAGAATCAATATCAATATATCAATATAATTACTATAATTAAGGAAAAATCAAAGAGAACAATAAAATTAATTACGGGATTATGAATACCTGTCGATTCCTATATAAATGTGTTATTCTTGTAGGACCAATCACTTTTCTAGTCCATTGCAGAAATCAGGTACTTCATCTCTTCTTTCTTAAATTTTTGTCCTTGAAATGATGAATTATCATGAGCTATTTGCAGAATATTTCTTTTATTATAGCCAACTTTATGTTTAGTTTGATTGTCTCTAATAATATCTTGTAAAAACATTTCTAGGATGAAGATCACAAGAATGCATCTGTGCGTACTTGTACAGCTTTTGATTGCAATTATGGCTTTTCTCAACTATGAAGTTGAGGGCTTGTCAAAGAAGGACAACGAAGAATTGGAGAGGCAACTAAAGCTTTTAAATAAGCCAGCAATCAAAACTATTAAGGTAGATTCTTATTCTTTCTTTTCATAGAGTTAAAAAGTATGTTACAAATAAAGAATAAATATTTAAAATCAATAACAAACAATATTGTTTAATTTTGTAGACTGAATATGGAAATATTTATGATTGAGTGGATTTCTATCAACAAGCAAAATTTGATCATTTCTTATTGAAGAATCATACTTATTATCCTCATGTATGTCCATTTGGTCTATTGAACCTTGTTCAATTATCAATCTAAAGTCATACCTTTCTATAACAACTATTCACTATAAAAGCCAAATTTCTTTAGAACCAATCTCCATGTTATGTTATAATATATGTTTTATATAATAACATTTTGCTATAACAACCAAAAAAATCTGGAACAAACGAGACTATTATAGAGATGTTTGACTGTTTATTATGAAAGTAAGAATAACTCCGAATTGAAATTTTGTCGTAGATGAAACCGTCTTTCTCCCTATTAAAGAGAGACAACGAATCCTCAACATCCAATAGCTCGTTCAAAATGGGACTAAAAGATGGTGGTTGTCCAATGGGAACAGTTCCAATTAGAAAAACTACCAAAGAAGATCTCATTAGAGAAAGGAGATTTAATGCTAGTTATGCTCGTGGCACCTTTCATGTAAGCTGCTCCTTAATTATAAGATACTATTTTTATTATCGACACATATCTTGTTACTTATTCTGCTTTGAACATTTAGTTTGCTCTAGAACAAACATCAAATGGCCCACGTAACCAAATTTCTGGAGCTGGAACAACAGCTAGTATGTATAATCCAAAGGTTCTTCCGAACCAATGGAGTGCATCTGTTGTGAAGGTACAAAATGGTCGTGACCAAATACAAGCTGGGTGGCGTGTAAGCAATATATATAAATTAACTTTGCTAGTGAAATTTCATCCCCTTTTGTTGCTTCTACACGATAGGCGTATCAAAAATTGACAATGAATGTTATGTTTATTGATCTAGGTGGATCCAATTCTTTATGGTGATACTCCTACTAGATTTTACTCATTATTCAAAGTAAGTCTTTATTTTTTTCTTGGTTCATTCAATTAGTAAGTCATGCTTTAATAAAATTTCGTTATTCAAGGTTAGTTAAATATGTTATATCACATAGGCAGGTACAACTCAATGATTCAATATACGTTGCCCTGAATTTGTTATTGTGAATATGCAAATACCTTTGAACAAGGTGTTTAAGACTACCAGACCTGGAACCTTATTCGAGGAGACGTTCTTCATTGAACGGGTTAGATAAAAACTATATTGAACTCCTTTTTCCCATGTCATTCAAAAAGTAATTAAGAGGAAAATCTTTTTTTACTAGTACGCACAATGTATGAACATAATCTTTTTATATACGATTTTAATTTGGAGCAGGATCTAAAGAATGGAAGATGGTGGCTACGATATGGTCCTGATTTTGCACAGATTGGTTTTTGGCCTCCAGAGCTTTTTACAGGATTAAAGAGTTTTGCATCACAGGCAGCATGGGGTGGAGAGGCATTTAGTTCAGTGCCTACTTTCCCTTAAATGGGTTCCGGCCGTTTTTCTCTAGTTGTAAATACTAATCAGGATGCATATTGTAGCAAAATTTCAATTCTGGATTCTGCTGGCAAAACTAAGGATCCCGATCGATTATCAAGGTTTGAAGACGCCCACACGCTATACCAGGTTGTTGATGAACCAGTTACCAATGAGGATTTTGGGCATACGGTCTTTTATGGGGGGACATGGTTCTATCAAATAAATGACATGTATGTTGCGGAGATTTGTACGATCTGCTGGGAAGCAATGACCGGAGGAGAAGTCGAGCTTCCATGCGGCCACGAATTTCACCCTCATTGCATCCATGGATGGACGCCCAATTCTGCTACATGCCCAGTTTGTCGCCACATGCACTATATAGTATTTTATATGTTTGTTATTTACATGCAAATAAAAATATTAATTTTAAATATTTTTGTACTGGATTGAGTTTAATAGTTTTTGTGATTTAGATGACTTGGACAATTTTTATGAATAAAGTATAAGTTTACTGTTTTTTTTAGTTTGTTACAACAGAACGCGCACTCAAATTCATCTATGTACTTGTAAAACGAATAGTACAATAAAAGCCTTAATATAAACGGTCGTCGTTAGCATTGAATTTTCTTATTATTGTTTCATCTAAATTGCGTTGACAGTTTTAATTATCTACAAATAAAAAGAATGTCAACTTTCAATCAGTTTTAGTAGACACATGGTGGAAGCCAATGGAAAGGACCACAACATCTTAAAAAGACATTTTAAATGTGGAAATTACTTGCTATAAATAGAAAATAGAGGAAACATGTGACTCAGCTACGAGAATGACCTCCATTGCCCACAGAATAACATCATATGGGATATACTACATACGGAGAATGGCCAAAAATACCCCTAACGTATTGAAAATGGCTCACAAATGCCCTCCGTTAATTTTTTAATCTAAAAATACCCTTAACGTTTTATTTTTGGCTCACATATACCCTTGAAACTAACAAAACATGGATGATAAATTTTTGGCTCACCTTCCATCAATATACCATATATTCTTTTATATGTATTTTATACCACATATATAAATAAAATATATACATCATAATACATGTAAACAAACAAAATATACCATACATATTCTTTAAAGTTGTGTATTTTATACTTTATATATACCACTATTATATAATTCATCACATATACTATTATAATAGAAAATATATAATTAGAACCATCGGTCTCTGTTGTCATTTATTGATACATCATATAATTATGTCGGGTTGATTTTCGTGTCATTGAAAGCCCGAGAGACATTCTGAGTGATATTTATGTTTATTTATTTAATACATGATTGTAGGTTCCTCATTGACGTCATGGATCATCCACCAGTCAGGCACATCTACCGTGAAGCCAACTTGATAGCCCACGTTCTTAGCAAATTATGGATACCAAACGAGACTGAACGTGAAGACTTATTTTGGGCTACAGTACCTTTATTTGCTTATTTTAATTTTCGCAAAGACCTTTTAGGAACTGCATCGATAAGATCAGTTCCATGTAACTACTTCCGTAATAACTACTTAATAAAAATTTCTCGTTCTTAGCAAAAAAAACAAAAAAACTACGAGAATGACCTCAGTCAAACATATATGCATCCGGCTGCTGCTAAATTATTGGAAAATATTTAAGTCACAGACTCACATGCATGTCTAAACCGGGGTTTAAAAAAAAAAAAAAAAAAGGCCTTCCAAAAGTAGTAGTATCTGATATAGGACAAAAGTTGTTAGGGTGGACTTTGGTCCACATATTAACAGACTAGAGAGGTGATGCCCGTGCATGGCACGTGCCTACATGTTAGATAAGTATTTAGTCTATGCACGGGCCCACTTGTTAGTATTTAGTTTTTTTAAACTATGATGGTGATGGTATATACAACGCCCCCTATAAAAATTAAAATTAAAAATTTGCTCTGTTAGCTTTCACTTTTCTTAACCAAGCAAGTATATTCATCTTTTTTGTATAAGTTCTATCATGTTGTACACTTGAACTCTGCCCAGGGAACACATAACCATGTCTCTTAGGACTCTACGGACTAGAGCTTTATGAGCGTTTGATGCATCTGGCAATCTAGGCATCTAGCCGCAGTGGTTTGCTGCATCACAAGGAGTAGTAGGAGGAATAACTATTCTAGAATGACTATAATTTGGTGCAAACTCATTCTTTGTCTGTTCCATTAAGCATAAAAAACAATTAATATCTAAGATTAATAACAATGCTAAACTGGCCGACATAACTACCACTTTTATAAACCTCTTCATTTTTTCCACTTTAAATTCTTCAACTTCATCAATATACATGCAACACGGAGAGAGAGATTGTTGCACATGTTAAGAAGGAAATTGATTTCACCAAATCATTGAGTCCCTTCGAATGCAGAAGAATCAATCTTCTTGTATCTTTTTCTCCTTGTTTCTTTGGAAACACTACAAACATATTTGACCACAAAGCTCAGAACACGTCTTCGCTTTTGATTCCGATAATGCTGGCCGATAGCATCATATGTGAATTTCATGTCAGCCACAATTTAATTCTAGCCTTCAAACAACTCTGCTAATAAAAAATATAGTCAAAGAATAGTGTTTTCCCACAAAAGAAATTTAACGACAGATCCCTATCCCAAACATCAAAGAGAGAAAACTGTAAGTTTTCACTTTATGTTAGGCATCATCGATGCATCCTCTGTAATCTCTTAAACATAACATGGAAACACAGTTAATATGACAAAATGAACTTATTTTTCTTTCATTCATTGGTAGCTCCTGTTATCATGTAACAGAACCAAGTGCCATTAGCTAATAATTGTAATATGACAAATCAAGTGATACTTGACACGTATGTATAAGTATTGAGCAAGCCAATATGGAATTCGTTAGTGCTAAATTGAATTATTGAACAACATTCAAAATGCTTTCCCACCTCTAAGAAGTTTTATGGTATAAGCAATTGATTACATGTAATGATCACTAATAAGGGTTTTGTTTTTTGCTCAAATTGCTACTTTTAGACCATAGCTTGTGCCTCGAACAAATTCAGCTGTCAATTCATGTCAAGCCCACACAACATATAAAAAGAAATTTATTCATGCACAGATCAGTTTACTACAGAACCAGCTAAAGCATTCAAGGTTTCACTTTTGATAAGGTAGAACAATCAAGGTTTCAACCTCTAAACAAAAATTTTGACAGGAAAAAGGCTTAGAGAAATATTTCATAACCTCTGTAGTAATGCAAAGAAATGCTTGAAACTTCAAAGCTCCAGTAGAACATTATTCCTCTAACTGAACAAAATATACACTAACTATAAACAATCAATAGAAAAGCTTTCAAGTGTAAAAGAATATAACAGAAGAAGTCTCTCAAGTTGCCTATTCTGTGGAGAGTTTGTTAGTTGAAAGACTATCATTCTTGTTTAAACAAACAAGAGATTTAACATTCTAATCTTGTGTAGAAACAAAAAAAAGTCTCATCACAAGAGCAATTTCTCCATCGAATCATAAAAAATGCTGCGACGTTCTTGTTAACAGGATGATCTCTAGCTTTTCAAGAAAGTATGTGTTTGAAATCAGGGAATAGGTTTTTAGAATTAAAATGTATTATATTTAGTATAAGGGCAATAGAAAACACGCGTTCATATTACTATATTGTACAATCCATTGTCATTTGATGTCTTACCAACTTAAAAAACTACAAATGCACAAAACACCTATACACTTTAATTCGAAAAAGTTCAAGTGCAAAGTTTTACAGAGCAAAATTCATTCTAAGTATCTCCTTTGAAACTTCTCCTTACAATATTAGTTAAGGTACCTAAATATTACAAGCTATATTCACTATAATATTTGATAATCTATCCTGCCATACTAACTGTGATGTTAATTATTTATTGTGTATGATTTTTGGCAATGCCAAACCAAATGGTATGTAGGAAAGCGTTCATATAGGAGAAATTAAATAGGTACAGAGAGAGAGAGAGGGGTTTGGTCATCCTTAATTTTTTGTGCAGTCCCACAATTTTAGCATATATTCTATAACTGGAAGGCTACAATATTACCATCTTCATTAGACTATGTCAAGAACTAACTTGAATTATGAAGTCATGGAAAATCTTCATAGCTCCTTTTTCTTTTTGAGAAGGTAACATAAATCTTTATAGCTCGTTTGTGGAACTGATTATAAAATAACAGTCCTAAGCGTATTAGCATATAAGTAATAAAGGCCTTCGTAGGAAAGCTACTGTAATTTGTTGCTAAGCATTTCATTCGACTGCCTAATTTTCTTGCATAGGTTGTAGATGTTGAACTAATTGATGAACTTTAAATCAGTTTGCATAGTTACTTACATGAATATTTTTAACCAAGTTCTCTTCATTGTGATTTTCAAGCTACTAAAGACTACTGACAATTTCAGACTTAAATACCATGCATAGACATTGCATTGCATAAAATTGAGACTAAGACTCTCTGCAAGCTTATCATATAATCATCTCATATTGCTGACCCTAACAAAGATCAATTGTGACGGATCTGACAAAGACTACTATTTTGTGGACCGAAGTTGACTAACCTTCCATGGTGCCAGCAATCCTGTGAAGGCTGCAGACCTTCAATCACAGATTAAATACACCTGAATCGTCACTTAGGGCGTTGGTTATTTCAGTTGATCCCTCTGTCACATCTGCTTTCACCTGAAAATAATCAAAATAAGATTTGTGAATTCCATTACTCCAATTAAAATGAGTTAGACATATCATCAAACACCTTGGATGCATAATCCACTTCAACAACTATAGTATTATTTATGTTCACATTAAACAAAAACAGAAAAAGGAAGACAAGTGACTGAAAAATATTAAAATATATAGGTGTGATATTGTCTTCTATTTTTTTCCTTTAGAAGAGATTGAAACACAAGCTGGTGAAGCAAATACACTACTAACCATAGATGACCGATTCTCCCTCTTTCGAGGTGGCGGTTCGAGAAATGTTGGAAGGAAACAAATTTTAAAGAAAAATAAACGGAAAGAGGCATGTACTCACACTGGAGATCAAGACAAAACCTTGGGTGGGCTGACTTTGCAAACAAAACCATACTTTTGATACTTTAGACTTTTATGCGATGGTTCCATTTTGGAATTTGGAGTAGCTAATTTGCACCAAAAGAGAATTAATCGAAAGACATCAGATAATAATTATCCAAAATCATACACTGACATTCATCAAGGTATCTAGTTTTAGACATGCATGTGAAGATTAGATACAATTACTTAGACTCATATAAATTCTAGAATCTAGCACGAAATTATCAGAAAAAAGGCAATAAGCAAAAATAGATTGGAGAAAAACTTACCAGAACTGAGAGCTGAAACTAACATATATTCAAAAAAGTGGAATGAGCGAAGAAAATTTGCAGAAATACTCAGCATCATGGAGATATAGAAGATTTTTAGAAACTGCTAAGTAATGAAAGAGAGGAAGGAGAGAAGTGAAATAATGAGGTAATGCGCTTAGATGACCATTTAGGCTGGGATAGAATAGAATAGAATAGCCGTACACGTGTTAGTACACGTGTCACAGAAAAGTAACAGTAAATGCTTGAATGACAGCGAAATTACAACATTACCCTACAAGACTCCACACTTTTGAGAATACAATTCTTGTTGCTTATTGTACAATCACATATTGCATTGTTCGTACACTTCTTCACATTTATATATAAAGTGGTAAAGTAAAGTAAAATGGATAAAACTTTTAATCTAGGACTCCGATTTCCAGATTCCAACTCCACTTTGTCGTGCCTTGAACTTTGTCAATTGTTAACACGTATGGAAATAAATTCTAAGGCCCCATTAATTATTTCAACCACGTTAAAACACTCCAATCTCCTATCTTCTTCTCATTATTATTATTGGTGCAATTAAGTTGCAAAATTAATCTACCCTACTAATTATTTCACATACCTTTCTCCAAATATTTATTCAATTCCAAGCTCATGATTTACTTTTTTTTTTTTTTTTTTTGGCTAAAGACAATAAAGTTAAATAAACTAAGAAGTTATTATTTCATTAGAATAATTCATCAAGCAATTATAGAATTATGCAGCATGAAATAATAATAATAATTTAATGTTAGTTACATATGAGCGCATATGCCAAGGTCAACAATAAATTCTCAGAAGGCATTTTTGTGGAGTCACGTGAAAGTAAATACCCATGGTCATATTCAATCTAATGACAATAACATCTTAGTCCAATTGTGTAACTGCTTTTTTAACAAAATCTTTGGGTGTGTTTGGTTCGAAGGAAAGTGTTTTCTGGGGAAAATGTTTTCATGGAAAATGAGTGGTTTTATCACTTATTTTTCCTTGTTTAGTTGGTGAGTGAAAATTTTTTTCCGAAAAAAATATTTTCTAGTGTTTGGTTAGAAAGTAGAAAATATTTTTTTATGATACTCTCCTCACCTCCCCCCCTTCCCCCAAGTCCTCATATTTCCTTGCTCGCTCCCCCTCCCCTCCAAATACCCAACGTTTTCAGAATTCTTTTTTCTTCAAGAAATTTAATTATTCTTCTAAAAATGCACACAAATCAAATGAACTAATGTGTTGCTTTACCTTTTTACTCAAAAATAACGTTATAATTTGTGCTCCATAATTAAAAAGGAAAGATTTTTTTTTTGCTTGAAAAAAAAAATACTCTTTCTACATCATGAAAATAAAGTATTCATTTTATTGAAATAAAAGAAAATACTTTCTCTACATCACGAAAAGAAAATACTCATTTTGTTGAAATGAAAAAAATATTTTTTTTACATCATGAAAAGAAAATACCTTTTTTGTTGAAATGAAAGAAAAAACTTTTTTTATGTAAAGAAAATACTTTTTAGTTGAAATAAAAAAAATACTTTCTATATCATGTAAAAAAAATACTCATTTGTTGAAATACAAAAAAAATCTATCTATAACATGAAAAGAAAGTACTATTAATAATACTTTTATTTAGGGTGGGGGTTGGGGTTGGTGGGTGTGGGGGTTGGGTTGGTGGAGGTTGGTGGGATGAGGAATAGGGTGTGGAAGGTTGAGGAAGAGTTTTGGAAAATGTTTTCCTTCTCTTGATAGGGAAAATATTTTTCTCCAATTGGTCCAATTGGAAAAAAATGAGTTCATGAGAAAAATATTTTTCAAAACATTTAAGCCAACCAAACATAGAAAAATTAAAAAATATTTTCATCCGTACCAAACACACCCTTTGTGTCATTGCTGATGGTAACATTTGATCTAATTGAATGAATTAGAACTTTGTACTTATTGAAATCTTCTCACTTCTGCCAACTCATTACTTGTCCAGTTTGGTTTTAAGTTCAAATAGTAGGAGTACATGTTTTCAGGAAAATGATATGGTTTATTACTACCCCTTTTTGTCTTTGTCCATCTGCTTAGAATAAGTTGCTAGTATAGCTCACACGGTTGGCAAATTATCTACTCTAAATAAGCTAATTGATGATGAGAAAGAGAACAGTTGTTGAGAGAGTGTTCCCTCGTGTGTTTTGAGAGGTTGGCATACCAATCTCTAATCAAATATTTCTCCTAATTATACCAGAAAATGAAATTAAACCATACTATATCTATACATCATGGTGGGTCATATTGACAAGAGTGGGTTGCCCTAGTGGTGAGCACCCTCCACTTCCAACCAAGAGGTTGTGAGTTTGAGTCACCCCAAGAGCAAGGTGGGAGTTCTTGGAGGGAGGGAGCCGATGGTCTATCGGAAACAGCCTCTCTACCTCAGAATATGGGTAAGGTCTCTGTTATGGTGGGTCATATCTTAATTATGAGTTTTTAAATATAGAATCAAGAGAAGACATACTGAAATAAAGGAAAGCAAAAGTGAAGTGAAACTTTAGTTTCTTGTTTAACATTTAAGAGAATCATAAATAAAAGTTAATGGGACTAGCACCGGAACGTTTGTTTCTGCTGCGTACCTTCCTTGTTGCTTAATTATCATGAGCAAGTGCTGAGAGTCAATTCTCCCCGATAATGCTTAAGAGAAAATCAAGGTTACAAGACCATACTAGACAAAGGCTACAAGGCAAGACCTTTGCCAAAGACTCTAACCTTATTGTAGAGCATTGTGGTAGAACGAATCTTAAAAAAGGTCTCCCTCTTCTTTCGTTTCTATATAAGCTAACGGTCATTCCTCTTTTTTATCTTTTTCTTTTCATTGTCTTGAACCAAGAGGTTCCTGCTGCCCTGATAGCTGATGCCTCCTCCTTAGTGACTTGATGCCTCTTCTTGTCAAGCTTCTTGTATTGGTGGAAAAAAGACATATCACGTGGACCATTAGTAAGCTGACGGGGCATGACGCGTAGAGCATCGATATAGCGACCCTCAATTAGGTGAATTAAGAATGCAGGAAAGGCACGAGAGAAACACCCGCGGTATAACGTAGAGAAAAGAACCGGGCCTGATAGTTGTCAAGGAAAAAACAAGAACGAAATGAATGAAGGCTATAAAAGAAGGGAAGATACACGAACCAAAAATAAATAAGGAAGGGAAATCAGAGCAGTTACGAGGAATCTTTAGTTATGAATGTGCTAGTTACAGTTACCTATGGGAACAGACAATCAATACAATTAATGCCATTAGTGAGCCCAAATTAAGTGAGGGAACCGTTATAATTATATGTTCCTATATAAGGACAAAAATTTCATTTGTAAAGACGTGTTACGATTATTACTGAAAAATATACTATTATTCTTTGCTTTACTCTTCACGTTTTAAGCCTTGATTTTGGGGAGTGATTGTCAATTCACTTCTTATTTTTCTTTGCTAATCATTTCTATTTTTTGATCTATTCTTCCTAAAATTGTTGGGAAAGTGAAGTAAATCTTGATTATCAGTAACCCGTTTTCTTCTAAATATTAACTTTGACCGAGAAATCTATTTTTGGTTAAACAAATTGGTTCCGTTACCGGGAATCTGATAATCTTTTCACTTTTCAAAATCTATTTTTTGACAACCAACTATGTCAACTGTTAACGAAAATAACCAGCTGAACCAACAAGGTGGAACTCCACCACACCACTCTCCAACGGGATCTCCTCAGCAGTCCCGTGGAGGTTCACCTAAAAGGTCTACATCACGCCCTGATGATCAACAAGGGGACGAACAAACCGTAGAGCAAGACGCTCTAAAGCAATTGATTGCGGAACACGTGAATAGTGCACTACAAGCCTTTGTCAGAGGATTGCCCAATGCGCCACAAACTCCCCCACCGGTCAATACAGTAACCTTAGAAAACCTTCGCTCAGAGCTTGACAATTCTGAAAGTGGAGAAATTCCTAACGAGTCTCGTGATTGAGGGTCTCTAATTTACAAAGTTTAGTACTAACTTTACAGAAACAATTGAAGGAGCAAAACGATCGCATAGAGCAAATACCTGGTTTGCCGCTTGTGATCAAAGGGATGGATATTGACAAGTATTCAAAATAACCTTGGAAACCAAGTGCAACACCTTTACCAATTCCTAAAAAATTTAAAATGCCTTATATTCCAAAATATGATGGAACAATTGACCCTCGAGATCACGTGACTGCGTTCACAACTGGCGTGAAGGCAACGATTTAACCAAGCAAGAAATCGAATCAGTTTTGTTTAAAAGGTTTGGTGAAACACTCACGAAAGGAGAGTTAACATAATATTCTCTTTTACCTGAAACTTTATTGATTCTTTTGCTGAGCTTGCAAATTCATTTATAAAAGTACATTCGGGAACTCAGAAAGTTGAAAAAAGGATGGAAGACAACTTTAAGATAAAATAAGGGAATTCGTAGATAGATTCCACCAGGAGAGGATGTTGTTACCTCGAGTACCTGATAACTGGACAGCTATGGTATTCGCGAGCAATTTAAACGAGAAAAGTTCAGACGTCATGAGAAGGCTGAAGGAAAGTTTGCGAGAATTTCCAGCAACGACTTGGAATAATGTGTACAACAGGTACAATACAAAGTTGTGGATAGAAGAAGATACGGTCGCACAGCCAAGGGCCGGTTAAAGAGCAGGATCGAGATGTTCAGAATAAAAAAAAAGGACCCAAAAAAACAGGTACGAGTCGTACATGGGACAAGTAGGACGGGACTCTCGATCTAAATAGGAGAACGTACGATTTGACTCAAGACCAAGGCAAAAAAATACGAGTTCTTCATCTAGGTTCAGAAAGGAACGGGATGCCCGAGGCAATGATTTCAATACGCATGCGAGGATAGGAGATTACAACTTTAATGTCAGCATCTCCGAATTAGTAGTTGTTTTAAAAGGTATGGGAGATAAGGTGCGGTGGCCTAAAGAAATGAGATCAGATCCAAGCAAAAAAAATCTAGATTTCTGGTGCGATTTCAGAATGATCATGGCTATAGAATAGCAGATTGTAGACTTCTACAGGGAGAAGTCGAGCATTTGTTGAAGCAAGGTTATCTTACTGATCTGTTCAATGAGA